TTCTGGGCGGGGCTCCACCCCGACCACGCCCCCAGCCCCCTCTCCCGGGGTTCTGGGCGGGGCTCCACCCCGACCACGCCCCCAGCCCCCTCTCCCGGGGTTCTGGGCGGGGCTCCACCCCGACCGCCGAGCGGTTCCGCGGACTCCGGGCTCTGATCCCGCCCCGGCGGTCCGGTTTCCCGGCCTGGCCTCGGCCCCGCCTTCTGTAGTAGGACGGCTGGGCCGAGCCAAGAGTCCCGAATTCACCCGGTTTTCCCTGCAGTTTACATAATGAGGAATCCCGGCATTTAGGACTCACACAGCCCCTGTCACTCACGGTTGCCATGGCAGCGTCCACCGGCCGCAGCGGGCTCCTCTCTGGCTCCTGATTGGACGTGTCACGTGCTTGAAAGCACCAATGAGGTGTTCCGGGTCACCTGTTGCTTCCGGGTTAGAAGCAGGGAGAATTGAGGAAACAAAGGAGATTCGTCCCTGGTGTAAGATTTCCCTCGGGGACGCAAACCCACGCGGCGTCGGATTGGAGAGGTTTCAGTTGCTTTTTGTTTTGTTGCTTTGGAGACGACGTTTCTCCGTGCAGCCCTGGCTGTCCTGATCTCGCTCTGTAGACCAGGCTGGCCTCGAACTCACGGTGATCCTCCTGGCTCCGCCTCCCGAGGGCTGGGGTTAAAGGAGGCCGGTTTTTGTTTTCTTTTTTGAGACACAGTCACATTTTGTCTCCTAGGCTTGTCGAAAACTCATAGTAATCCTCCTGCCTCGGGTTCCTGAGCGTCGGCCCCCCAGGCGATTGTTGCCGGGCCCCGTTTCGCGGCTCCCCTTCTCTTGTCCTCCTCGTCTCCTTCACTGACTGCCGCTGTGCGCGCGTGCACACGATGTTACACGCGTGCCTCCGTGTTAGCGTGGGGGTCAGGGGACGACGTCCACCACGAGTGTCGCAGATCCATCTCAGGGCCTCAGTTTACCTTACCCAGGGAACCATCTTGCCAGCCCAGGATTTTTTTTATTTTGGTTTCGTTTGTGTTTTTGAGGTAGAGTCTTGCGTAGCCCAGGCTAGCCTGGAACTAACCCAGTGTGTGGTTGGGGATGACCCTGCAGCCCGCTCCTCCCACCTCCTCCTCCTCAAGGCCGGGCGACAGGCAGGTGTCGCCACACCGGGGTCCAGTTTTGTTTCTTGCTCTCCTGCTCACCCCTCCGAAGAAAGTCCCGCGTGTCCGTGGGCGGCGGAGTGGGCTAGCTCGTTTGTTGAAGTTCTCTCTGCCTAGAAAAACCGTCCTGGAGGTTAGGAATTAATGTATTCTGTAGTTAGTTTATTTTTAATAAGCCGCCCATTGTGGGCTCGGGGCGTGGGAGATTCTCACAGATCGCTCCGCTCAGACGCCCACGGGCAGATGGAAAAAGCACGTTAGGTAGGTCATTCAGCAAGACAGTCACTCGGGTGGGCGCCCTGCGTGCTGTCCTGTTCTCACCCCGAGAGCAGCATTCTGGGTACACACAGGAGTCACGAAGTCACCCCAAGCCTGACCTACAGCCACAGAGTCAGATGCGGTGGCTTTGCCCTCATCCCAGCCCTTGGGAGCAGAGCCCTGTTTACCGCTGGGCCTTCTTCAGAGGGGTGGGGTGGGGGCTGCGACCGTGGCTGGGGTGGGGGCTGCGGCCATGGCCAGGGTGGGGGCTGTGGCCGTGGCCGGGGTGGGAAAGGGGCGGGGGCTGCGGCCGTGGCCGGGGTGGGGAAGGGACGGGGGCTGCAGCCGTGGCCGGGGTGGGGAAGGGACGGGGGCTGCAGCCGTGGCCGGGGTGGGGGCTGCAGCCGTGGCTGGGGTGGGGGCTGCAGCCGTGACCGGGGTGGGGTCTGCGGCCGTGGCCGGGTGAGGATCGGTTTCCGCTGGTCCTGGAGCCCTGGGCTTCCTGAGCAGCACCCGCGGGGTGGATCACGGCGCCCCTCCTGACCCGGCAGGTGCTGCACACCCACAGCACTCACACATACATAAGTAAGAATAAAAAGAATGGATTTTGACGGGCAGCGGTGGCACACACCTTTAATCCCAGCACTCGGAAGGCAGAGGCAGGCGGATCTGTGAGTTCGAGGCCAGCCTGGGCTACAGAGCGAGATCCAGGACAGGTGCAAAGCTACACAGAGAAACCCTGTCTCGAAAACGGAGAGAGAAAGAAAAGAAATAGATTTTAATTGAGGGCCTGACGTCCACTTCAGGCAGACGTGGAGGGTGAGGTCATGTGATCCAGGCTGGTGGTTTACATCCTGTGCTCACTGAGCTGTTCGGATTTCAGGACATTCTAGGCCCGGCTTCCTCTCTCTCTCCCTCATCTCTCTTCTCTCTGAGATAGAATGTCTTGTAGCCCAGGCTGGCCTCAAACTCGCTGTTGTAGCTGAGGTTGACCTCGGACTCCTGATCCTGCTGCCTCCACCTCCAGGGCACCGAGACGGCAGGTGTGTATCACCACAGCTGGTTTATGTCCTGCTGCTGAAGGAACCTGGGGCCTCCTCAGGGCTGGGCCAGTGGTGATCTTGTTGTTTTTGTTTGGTTTGGTTGATTTTTGGCTTTTTGAGACAGGGTTTCTCTGTGCAGCCCTGGTTGTCCTGGATCTCACTCTGTAGCCCAGGCTGTCCTCATATTCACAGAGATCCGCCTGCCTCTGCTCCCGAGTGCTGGGATTAAAGGCTTGCGCCACCACCACCACCACCACCATGTAGTTTAAAGAGGTGTTTATCCTTACTTTATGGGCATATGTATTTTGTCTGCGTGCATGTCTGGTACCACGTGTGTGCCGGTACAGTGGAGACCAGAAGACGAATCAGATCCCCTGGAACTGGAGCTACAGGTGGCTGTGAGCATCCATGAGGGTCCTCTGAAAGAACAGCCACGTCTCTCTCTAACCAGCCCAGGGCTCGTGTTTTGCAAGCAGGTTGGTTCTAAGTGCTTGCTTGGAAGAAGATGGCCCCCGAAGGAAGTGGCACCTTTGGGAGCTGTGGTCCTGCTGGAGGAAGTGTGTGCTGTGGGGGTGATCTGTAAGGTCTCGTGTATGCTCAAGCCATGCCAGTCAGACCACTTCTGTTGTCTTCTGGTCAAGATGCGGCCAGCACCACATCTGCCCGAAGGCCGCCACGTCCCGCCATGACGGTGATGACTGAACTTCAGAAACTGTACGCCAGCACCCCAATGAGATGTTTTCCTTTATAAGAGTTGCTGGGGCCGGGTGGTGGTGGTGGTGGCGGCGGCGGC